GGAGGAGAAAGAAGGAGAAAAGAGGAGGAGGAGGAGGAGGGAGGAGGGAGGAGGAGGAGGAGGAAGGAGGAGGAAGGACGAGGAAGGAGGAGGAGGAGAAAGGAGGAGGAGAAAGAAGGAGAAAAGAGGAGGAGGGAGGAGGGAGGAGGAAGAAGGAGGAAGGAGGAGGAGGAGAAAGGAGGAGGAGAAAGAAGGAGAAAAGAGGAGGAGGAGGAGGAAGGAGAAGGAGGAAGAAGGAAGGAGGAGGAAGGAGGGAGAAGGAGGAAGGAGGAAGGGGGAAGGGGGAGGAGGAGAAGGAGGAGGAGAAGATCGTCTTGGGTTCCAGGGGTCTTTAAACCCCCTTTATAATTTGCTCCCCTCTCCACTGAGATCCTGCAAAGAACACCCTCCATCCCAAGCATGTCAGAATCTCAGGTCGTTTTGGGGGGACTTACTTTGTCTGTCAAGAGAGGAGCGTGGTAGAGCAGAGTATTATTCTCCTAAAAAGACATAGAGAGAAGAGAAGGATAAACCTGTCAATCAAAGCAGTCCAACCTTAAGACTTGTGGACTTCCAACTCCCAGACTTTCTCCACGTTGGCTGGGGAATCATGGAAGTTGGAAGTCCACAAGTCTTAAGGTTGCGAACCACTGCTCTAAATGTTTCATTAACCCCTGAGAAGCCATCTCCAGCTGCTCTCCAACGTATGGAAGACACAAGGACATCCTTCCAAGACCTCGTCCTTCCAAGCCAGAACCAGACCATCAAGAATTCTGTCGACCCTGCTGGCTGGGAATTTTAGGAAGGGTCCTCCCTCCCATCCTCCCTGGGAGGACACAGGTTTAAGAAGGTAAGATACCCAAAGAGAGCAGGGTTGGGGTGTGTGTGTGTGTGTGTGTGCGTGTCTCACTTACTCAGTCACTTTTACTTACCCACAAGTAGAAGATGACTTGGCTTTTGCTGTTGCTCACCAGCTCCTTCGAAGTTTGGAGACTGAACTCAATGTAATTCTGAAAGAAAGACGCAATCTTGAATATCCCCGTCAAAACTGCCCTTTCGTACCTGAACACACCACGACACCGCACAGTTTCGCTTCCCGAGTCTTTAGCCATTCTGGCTGAAGGCAAAACGTTGGTGGCCCCAAACCGTGGCTTCACCCAGCTGGGCAGAAGATGGCTTTTAAGCTCTTCCTTGCCATGACCAACAGTTACCCTTATTTTGCTTTTCCATTCCTGTCAAAATAAAGCTGGAAAAGGCTTATAGGAGGAGGGCAGGGAGCTGGTGGGAATTTTCCTCCCCTGCCAACATTTCATGGGTCAGCTAAAAAAAATCCACCCAATAAGATCCATAAATGGAGTATTTTGCCATTGGGGGGTGCAACTTATCGCTAAACATTTGGGAAGTGAAAACAGCGGCTGTGTTGAAACGTCGGTTAAGTTTGCCACACTTGGAATTTTGGGAGCAAAAACAAAAAAAGGTAGAATGAAGCCAATGCTAATTTGGTTAAAAAAAAATGTTTTAGAACAAAAACAGAATATAATGAATCGTTTTATCCACCTTCCTCTGACCCACAAACCTGTATTTATGACCTGCAGAAATGTTGCCAAATTTTGCACGGGGGGGAGAGGGGGGGGAGGAAAAAATAATCATGGTAATCTCTGTGTCTCTCTTGCACGCCCACAATCAGAAGGGTCTCACCTGGAATCCAAACTGAGGTGGGACCTGCACACTGCAGAATGGCTTGGTTTCCAGCGTGGTCCACTTCCAAATCGAAACTTTCTGAGATAAGGAAGACAACGCCATGGATGGTTGGTGGATGAGCAGGAGGACAGAGTACATTTCTTAAAGACAAGTGTCAGCACTCCGTCATGCAGCCCCATTCAAATTATAAGTCTCTAACCGCATCTCAGAGAGTAAAAAAATTGATTTATTAGGAGTGGCCATGTTGGCGTTATCTGGGTGCAGCCGACACTAAAATACAGCATTCATTTCCCCCTTGACCCTGGTCTTCCTCCCACCCCCTGGATGTATATTCTCCAATGGGACACATCCATAGCCAAGAGTCATCAATCATGCTCTCCAGTAATACTCTTGCGCGCCAACAGCTTCGGCCGCCTAGCAATTATCTATGCAAATATTTAAGGTATGCATTACTTTTCCCCACTCCCTTTCCGCTGACAACTCTAAAGACCCAGAGAAATATTTTTGAGTTGACAACAAGGAGATTGGTGTTCCTACCCACAGGTTACGACTGGCCTTGCTCGCAACTGCTCTCCAACATTTGAGACACTCAAAGGCTTCCTTTACCTGCACCTGTTCGGCTCCAACGGTAGCCAGGAACTTGGAGTCGTGAGAAAGGGTGATGGCGCCGACTCCTCCTTCAGGGTGACTATCAAAGATGGTGTGGACAGGAATCCTGAAGAACAAGACATCTGTAATTGTGGCTAAGTGGAGTCAATTTTGTGGGTGCCAACTTAAACATCTGAACTGGGAGGAGAACTCAGTAGAGCTATCAGACTAGGTCTGGAGACCTCCAGATATTGGCATAGCCCTTATTACGTACCTGAACATGATTACTTGAATACTGATGATGTAACCTAGTTGGGTCATGAAAGGTCTACAAGCCAACCACCAAGATCAGAGAGCATCAAGGAACCAACAGTCCTCCTCCTCTTCCACCTCTTCTTCTTCCTCCTCCTCCCGTTCCCTCCTCCTTCCTTCAGTCCTCAGACTCCTCTCCCTTCTACCACTGATGTTATTACCTAGTTGGGTAATGAGACGTCTACAAGAAACCAACCAAGCTCAGAGAGCACCAGGAACTCTACAGAATAATCCTGAGCTACAAATATTCCTTTCTGTTGGAACAATTAATTGAACTGGGCGGCCAAAAAAACCAGCCATCAGGTAGCTAATTTTGGACCAGCAAATGCCTTTGAAGGTGAAGTCTATTAACAAGATAAAACTGAGGTGAATCTTGTTGATTCTATAATAGGGGGAGGTGGTGTCTCCAAACCTGGCAACTTTGAGACTTGTGGATGTCAACTCCCAGAATTCCTCATGCTGGATGAGGAATTCTGGGAGCTGAAGGCCACAAGTATTAAAATTTCCCGAGTTTGAAGGCCTCTGTCCTACAGCAAGAAATAAGATTTCCGTTCAAAGAATTCCTGCTCTCATGGTCACTGCACTTGACCAACATTTTGTTGGGGGCTTCAAGGAGACAACGCAACTCTGAAGATCAAGAGGTACCATGGCCTGCTATCAAGAGCAGGGGGAACTCATCCTGCCGACGCCAGAACCTTACGCAGAGTAGCTGTCCCAGAGGATCACCAGGCTGTCAGGACCTCGGTCGGCCGTGGCAATCCACCGCCGGTCATCGCTGACACAGACGCAGGAGATGCAACTGGAATGTCCCTAAGAAACATGGGAGGCCTCAGAAGGCCATCCTTGTAGTTGAGGTTGCTTTGCACCACCTGGAGAACTTGGGTCTTACCTGCAGGAGGTACTGTTTATTCTTCAAGATGTCATGGATCACGGCGGTGTGAGCAGAGACGTACAACAGCACCCGCTGATCTTCATCCAGAAGGTTGAAAACAGGCAGGTGGCTGTTGTAGCCAAAGACCCACGACAAGCTCTGGAAGAAACGTCAAAGTCAAAATCATTGTCCCAAGGCATCCCTTCCAGACTAGCCCAATCAGAAGGCCCGCCCAACTAAAAATCACAAGAGGGGTTGTACGGGAATCCAGATGTTGAAAGGTTCTAGTGCCATCTGTCCTTCACCCAGACTCACAAGAGGGTGATCGGAGAGCGGTTGAGTCTTCTCATCAAACAGCATCCCTGGGAAGGCCGACAAGACCATAGAATCTTCCTCCTGGAACCCAGTCGCACTGCTGGCGGTGGTTTGAGTCCTGGACGTCTCGCTCTCTTTTTGGGAAGTCTCCATCCCTGTTTCTAGACTGGTCAATTCACTATCGCTCGGTGGTTCTTGACTTCTGAAGGACATCTTGGACTTCTCATTCTCCAAGCCAGTTGTTGAACTTGACCTGCTGCCGGGCCTCCTAATTTTGGAGGACACTGGTTCTGGGGAGACGCTTTTAGCTCGTTCCGGTTCCACCGGTCCAGGACTACCTTCTTCTGTTCTGGCCTCTGGGAGTTCTTCAGTGCTAGCTGGGCCTCCTTCATCATCCCTGGTGCCAGAACTCCGGTCATCCTCTCTGCCAGCTTCAAAGAGATGGTCTTCTACAGCGACCTCTAAAGATGGAGATGTTTCTTTTGACTGCTCCTGCGCTTTGGGCTCATCTTCAGGTGTCGGGGTCCTGATTTCTTGTCCCTGAATAGCAAAATAGAATTTGTAGCCGAGACTGGAAGTTGCATCCCTGCTTTCTCCCATTTTACCTGATTTTCAATCTTTACCTGGATCGCTCCATTCTGTGCTTCCAAATATACAATTCAAAGGCCCTTTTGGGATGAGTGGGACATCCCCAGACTTACAGGATGAGTCAACTGCCTCCAGGACAAATTATTACAAATATTATTTACTAAAGTTATTTTCATTCATAAGAACTAGTCTTGAACAAATTAAATCAACAATATTATTTACTAATTCAGCCACGCTGGCTGGGGAATCCTGGGAGGAGTTGGAAGTCCACCCATCTTCAAGGTTGAGAAACATGGTTTTAAGGAGATCCAGTAAATAGGGTCAATGGCAAGAGATGTTGGGTTGATGATATGGTCAACGGAAAGTCAACAGTTGTCCCCTTCCAGCATCTCTTGCCATGGAGCAGAGTTGCTGGGACTCCTCAAATCAGAATTTCTCAACCTTAAGCCACTTGAAGATGGGTGGACTTCAATTCCCAGAATTCCTAGCTTCCTGGCCTGGCTTCCTACTTACACTTGAGGGTACCACAATCAGAGGAGTGGTTTTCGACACAGAAATACTACTTTCCATCCTAGGGACGCCAGCTTCTTGGTCGAGGGTCTCTTCGGGAGGAGTTCCTGGAACTTCCAGCCGTTCCTTTGAGGGCATCTCAGAATAATTCAATTGGGGGTTATTCTTTTCCTCCTTGCCTTCCTCCATGGTCTCCTGCAAATATTGGTGGAGTTGAGAGAAAGTTGGAATGGCGTTAGTTGGAAAATGACCGTTTCCTTCCCCAAAGATTTGGGACCTTTCCAAATGGGAGGAAAATAGCCACATTTGGGCTGAGAAACGTGTCCAGGATCCCCATCAAGGACCTCTGGGTTTCACCTGGAAGTTTGGCAGAGTTACCAGCTTCTTCTTTGAGTCCCTGCCAGTTTCCAGGCATTCTACGAAGCTTTACCCCATGGCCTTACCAGCTTCCTCATCCTCAAGGAGTTGCCAGAGAGAACATAGTTTCCCAAACCAGGTTTTCCTCACCAGCTAGCAACCTCAGATCCTGGCTTCCTCAAGCAGAATGATAAAGAGTTGGAAGGGACCTTGGAGGTCTTCTAGTCCAACCCTCTGCCATTTCAGACAAATGGTCATCCAGTCTCTTCTTAAAAACCTCCAGTGATGGAGCCTGAGGGCTGAAGTCCAACCTCAACTCTTATCTCTAGGTGGTTAAGCCACGAAGTCCATACAAGTTCCTTCAACCACAGATATAATTTTATAAAAATACTAGATTGTGCACAGATCGATAGGTTGACATTAAAAATAAAGAAGATACAGAATATTTTCAAACATAGAACTTATTTTATCAATTTCTAGAAGTAGAAATTGAAAAAATACTATTATGTATGTCTTATGTTCAATATATGACTATATTATATACTATTATGTAAGCAAATTGACCCAGACAATACACTGTTCATAAAGCACTTGTGTAGGAAGGAAAAATACAAAAATAAACTATTAAAAAAAACCCAACCCCAATTCAGGAGTGGGTCACCCTGGCCTTCCTCCAGGATTTTGTTCAGATTTCCATTCCCATCTACACTCCATCATCTCCTAGTGGCCTCCTTTCCCAGGTGTGACCAGCTCTGGTTCTCCCTTAGCTGCAATTAAGCAAGCCAAGGTCTACCTTCACTCCGCCCAAGTAAAACACAACTGACAAAACTACACAACCCACAGAAACCTTTTTGGGATGGAACAAACAAGTCTTTGCAGAAATCCTAACCCAGAAATTCCACCCCAATCGTTGAGTTCATTCCTCCCCGCAGGGAGGGGGAAAAAAACCAACGATAATTTCCACTTTTTCCTCTTTTTTGTGGCTTTCCACAAACCACCATTTCAATCTTCCCGAGGTTCAGCGTTGCTGATTTCCCACCCCCCTTTCCCAAAGAAACTGTCCTCACCTGCCTGCCTTCTCAACTCACCTGCAGGCTCCAACTCCAGCAGCGACTGTTTGCCTCCCCTCCTGGTTGCCCTAGCAACCGCCAGCCGCCTGCAAACAACTCCAGTCTGAATGGCCTGCTTGGCAAGCGATGCATCCCCAAACTTCCAAAGATGCAGATTTCCTTTCTTGTCTAACCAGACGGCCCTTTTCACCTCCCCAAAACCCCTTTGAAACAGGCGCAGGGTTGATTTTTCCAATCTATTAGATTTAATCTATAAAATTTAATGTTTTCACCTCTCTTTAAAGTTTCTCTTTAGTTTTGCAACACTCGGAGCCCACTAAAGTTGGGCAGCCACTACATTTCAGGAAATAAATAAAAATAATCCATCTTGCAACTGAGAACGGGGCCCTTTGTGGTTTTTGCAAAACTGGGCTGGATGATGGCTGAGTCGACAGCTTTGATGAAAGGAAAAAAAAAAGATTCACTGGCTTTGTTTCTATTTGGAAACCACTCCTGGATTTTTTAATTTTTTTTAAGTTTTGCTTGAAAGAAATTAAATGCTGATTTTTGGTTTTGAAGATTAGCCGATGATGACGACTGTAGAAGTACCGCTTCTTATGCTTGATTTCTACTTTCGAAATGGTAATTGATTCTTCGGTTTTTAATTTGTACCAAACACATTATTGTTCTATACATTTTCCCCTCTTTGGCTGCACTCCCAGTTTGACTTTTTCTGTACCCCTTTCTTTTCCTTTTAATTTTTTTTTTCTATGTTATATACTTTTCTGAAATTTTAGCGCACTTCACAGAAACAATTAAGGACGGAAGAAACAAAAGAATTAACACCAGGAGGAATGGCACGAATCTTTTATTGTCTAATTCCAGAACCAAACAGGGAAGTATCCAAAGGAAAGCCACAAAACCAAGCAGCTCAATCCCACAACGAAGCCACACAACTCTTTTTTGTCCTTACGCCTAAGTTAAAACCTACTGAGCAACCTTTGTGAATCAGGGCAAGGGAAAAAAAAATATTTCAAAATAGCATCTTCAGGAAAACACAGTCGAACTCCCGCAGTGCAAATTCATTTTCGCCATTTCAGCTTGTTCAGGAAGATGCTAACGTCAAAATGACACGTCACCAAACAACCACCACGAATCATCACCAGAAGTCATCTTTGCAAAGGAACAATATTGCAACTGGGAGTCGGGAGGAAAAAAAGGAAGAGAAAAATCCAATTAAGCCTTCGGTAAGCATCTGATAGTCTTTTGTTCCTCAGAGAAGCATGAGAATTTACACAAATACAGACAGAGGAAGGCACAATTCTAGGGCTGTTTTTCGATCATTTGAACTTTAAACAGATCAAATATGCTAAAAAAAAGTGGAAAAGTTTGGCATTACCTACAAAGGAAGAACAGTTGGTGAAGATGATGGAACTTACAGAGAAAACTGAATTAACTTCTTTGAATAAACTAAAAAAATCCAGTATCTACATATATGGTTGTCTGGAAACCCTTTGCAGACTTTTAGATAAAATAGAAAAAAAATGCATTTATAATTTGTAGTTTTGAGGGATAAATTAAAGAGATGGATTAATTAAAGGACAATACAAAAAAACGAGCGTTCTTTGGTCATCAGATATAACTTTGTACTTATATCTGCTGCAAAGAAAATTGGAAGCATCTTCTATTTCTTTTTATTCTTTCTTTATATCTTTTTGTCTTTTTTCTTTCTCTTTTTCTCTCTTGTCTGCCTTTACTTGTGGTTTTATTCTCTTGGTAAAACTTTGAATAAAAAGCTACATAGAAAAACAACTTTAAACAGATCAGGATGGAAATCTTGGGATTTCTCTTCTACCTCCACAAAATCCACACAAAAAATGGGATTGAAGAGAGCTAAGGATACCAGAGACCGGTCAATGTTTCCCGTGAGGGTTTTATTCTCGGCTCTGCGGAATTTCAGTCACTGAAGCATCTTTTCCTGAACTGTTTGGAAAGGAGCAAAGAGTCAAGGGGGCAAGTTAAAGTTTGCGGATACTTACCCCAAAAGTCCTTTCCCACTCCAACGCTTTGGGGTGAGGCCCAGATGGATTTTTTCCCCTCTTCGGATCACAGTCACGCGTAAGGGTTTCTGGGGAGAGAAACAAAACAAAACAAAAACCCCAAAATATTTCACCTGTTCGGTCTGGTTTATGTGGCTAATGGTGGGGGTGAGAACAGCGTTAGCGTGATGACCCAGGGTGGGATACAAAACAAACACAGTCACAGAAAACAGGTGAAGCGCCTTTTATTCCTTCACTTTGCTTCCAAGCTCTGAATATTCTTGACGGAAGACAAAAAACTCCCACACAAACAGTTACAAGAAGAAGGAAAAAAGCAACACAAACCAGACAAGATAAGGGCTGGAGGACGTCCACAGATAACAGAACACACACTGGGAAGGATGCCAAACTCAAGAGAGGAACCATAAACTAGAGATATTTCTACGCTTTGTTTCCAGCACTGGCCCATACGCATGTCTGTCCTCTTATTCAGTTGTCACAGCTGCAGCCCATGAAGAGGATCAAGGCCCTCTCCTCCCAAGTAGACCACATCTCTCCCTTATCCTCTCCTCCCTGTGTGCCCTAGGATGGAGAGGGGATGGGCCTGGGTCCTCCTCTGACAGCCCAGCCGACCTCTGCCCTTCCCCAGCCTCCTCCACAAACTCCGGAGCCACACCTCCACTCCCGCTCGGCCGTTCCTCCTCTCCCTCAGAGTCAGTCTCCACCAGAGGCATGACAGTTAGGCAGGGGTGGTATTCTACCGGTTTGGCTGAGCCGGTAGCACCAATGAGACCAAACCAGTTCCCTCTGCCGCTCTGTTGTTGGGCCCACCCGCCCACCTGGGCTCCCATATTCACCTTCATTCCCTGCTTTTGAAGCGCAACTGCTTTGCGCCGGTGCCACACGGCAGCTGCTGAAGCGACCGGGAGAGTGCAGGCTTGCAGGAGGTGAGTTAGAACGCCTCTGGCGCCTGCGCAAAGTCTGGACACGTGTGCAAAGCGTGCCCACCAAGCCAGCCCCCCCCCCAACCGGTGGTAAAAATGTTTGCATCCCACCACTGATGTCAGGGGTCCGAAGGAGCCCCTCCCAGCCTCTTTCCAGGCCCACAAAGAAAAACAAGCCACTCACATCCTCGCTGTGTTGCACCACAACGGCGATGTTCTGCAACGACTGGAAATTCTGGCTGTTCAACGAGCCAAACTCGGCGATCTCGTCGCCCGCTTGCAAACCCTGTGGAAAGAAGCCAAGATGATCCCTTGTCTCTTTACAGGAGAGCAGCTCCGAGATGCCAAAAGAGCAAGCACCCAGGTCTCGTAGAGCTGGGCCAGCTCTTATTTTTCAGACCAGCCCACCTTGTAAGCCTTTTGTTGCTCTGATAAAAAGGGAGGAGGAAGTTATTAAGAAAATTATGGACTGTGCTGAAATGGATAAACTGACATTTGAAATTAGAGAACAAGAAGATAAACGATTTTGTCTGATATGGGATTTGTTTTATCAATGGTTGGACAAAAAGACATGCTAATGTAGTAGATGAGATAATTTTGCGATAGAAATTTAATAGATTGACATAAAACATAATGTAGACATATATAACCATTGGTGTAGAGTTGTAATTGCAGGAATGCTCTTATCTTGGATGGCAAACCTCAGATTAAGAATGTTTACAAGTAATTACAACTCAGGCAAATAAAGTCACTAATGTAAAGGAGGATTAGAGAGAGGAAGTAAACATGTGTTAGACTTTAACTAGAGATAATTGTGTTAATTGCTATGCTAAACAGTAACAAAAGTTAAGCAATAACCAAAGTTAACCAATGTTGGAGGATTACTCAAAATGTGTGTAAATGCAAGACTAGACTCCAATAAAGTTCATCATGATTCATTTGATCATGATCAAACACCTCGACTGCCTCGTCATTACAACACATTGGTTGAAAGTATAAGATAAATTTTAAGATAAAATTTGGAATATCTCTTATAAAATGTTGGAATAAATAGTTTAGTCATGGATGATTAATAACTGATAAATATATAAGCATACGTTGACAATGTGAAAATTGATATAAACTGTAATGACTATAAAAGGACACACAAAAGATTTGTAACCAACTGACACACTGTATGTATATAAAATGGAAGGTGGTTTTATGTTTTTATGTTTTGTATGTGTATGTTTGTTTTTAAAAAATAAAAACTCTTTAAAAAAATTGGGGGGGGGAGGAGGCAAAGAAGAGTCTAACTCCTTAGCAAAAGGGCAGGATGTAACAATTCAGAATAAAGAAATGCCGCAAGCTGCCACCCGGGGAACTCGGGAGCAAGAGAGCTGGTACTTGCCGAGAAGCTAGCTGGAGATCCGGGACTGACGGCATTCACTTGGGCGAAGGGCTGGGGCAAGGCCTGGCCTTGGGCTTCGGCACGCGCCTCAGCTTCGTCCCGGTCATGCTTCTCTTTCTCCCGGGCGTGCAGCTGATGCAGACCCTGTTCCACCTGTTGCATCAGGGCTTTGTGGTCGTTCTGCAGACCTGAAAGCAGAAGCCAAAATCATCCACCGCCTAAAACAAGGGCAAAAGAGGGTCGCTGGTAGCTACCGAGAGAGATTTCCGGATAAGCCACCGTCATCTGCGTCAGACAAGAGCAAGGTCTATAAATCTAACTTGCCGGAAATCACTGGATCCCACTTTCAGGCCACTCCTTCCTATAAAAGGTAGGCCTCAACTTACGACCACAATTGGAATAAATATTTCCACCGCTAAGCAAGAGGGCTAAGCGAGTTGCACAAGATTTTACGACCTTTTTCGGCGCAGTTGTTAAGCAAATCCAGCTTCCTTCATTGATGTTGCTTGTTGGAAGTTTAAGTTTGGTTTAGGTTTATTGTCATTGCACCTTGTACAATGAAATCAAACACCATCTTCGGTGTACATTATAACTATAAAAATAAACCACAAACACACATCCTTCGCATTCTATACAATTGAACTGAAAATCCCTATTAATGACCTATACAGTAGAATCCAACAGAGTTCCTGTCCTGGGATAGAAGCTGGTTTTCAGCCTATTTGTCCTTGTTTTAATTATTGTCCTGTACCGTCTGCCAGATGGTCACAGTGCAAAAAAAAGGGGCGCTCCAAAACAGCTGGTTGAGAAGGCCACGAATGGCAATCCCGTGACCTCGGGGTTCTCCAATCCTTGCCAATCCTCACTGGTTGTCCAAGGCCCAACTTTTGATTGCGTGATTGTGGTGAAGCCACAGGGGTTGTAAGTACGAGGACCAGCCTTAAGTTGCTTTTTCCCCCCCAGTGCTAAACAAATGTTTGTAAGTCGAGGACTACCTGCAACGCAAATTAGGATAATGGACGTAGGCAGCGTGGGTTAAAGAAGTGTTGGAATAAGGAGACGGGGCTTTCAACCTGCTGGGAAATTGAAGGCTGGCTGCTTACAGATGATGTTGTGCCTTGCACTCCGGACTTGGTAGACGTCCACATCTGCCCGAGGGTAACCTTCAGCATCCACGAGCGGCTCGTTCATCCCAACTCCCCTTTGCTGCAGGTGAGCAAAATTGAAAGCATTCCCTTTTCAGGTTTGCTTTTTGCACACATTACACATATAATTAGAATAGAATTAAAATAGAAGAGAATAGGAGAAGAGAAGAGAATAGAATAATGGAGAAGGGGGGAAGGAAGGAGAATAGAATAGAATTAAAATAGAATTAGAAACAAGAATAGAATAGAATAGAATAGAATAGAATAGAATATAGAATAGAATATAGAATAGAATATAGAATAGAACACAATATAGAATAGAATAGAACAGAAACGAGGAGAGAGTAGAATATAGAATAGAATAGAATAATGGAGAAGGGGAGAAGGAAGGAGAATAGAATAGAATAGAATTAAAATAGAATAGAACAGAACTAGAAACAAGAAGAGGTATAGAATAGAATATAGAATAGAATAGAATAGAATAGAATAGAATAGAATAGAATAGAATAGAATAGAATA